ACACTGTACATTACAAAAATATTTTTAAAATGTGCACCCGATAGGCGTCTGTGGATTCATCAAATAATACTTTGCAAAAAACAAACGAGCTAGCCGCAAACGTCGGTGCCGTATAGCGTGAATAACCCTGTATATACAGGGTGGTTTTTTTAAATCTTGAAACGCTTAAATATTTTGGAAACGAGTGATCCGAGGAAAAAATGTTTCAAATAAGAATATCTGGAGGCGGAAGTTCGTGTCAGAAAAACAACGGCTTACTTTGACCTTGTAGGCTAGGCAGGGGCCAACTTGAGAATTTCAAATGGTAACCACAACATTTTATTGGAGATTCGAATAGTACGTCAAAAACTGGGAATAATGTATCTAAAACATTTTCTTCCATTTTGACAGGTGGCGTTGTAATCCATCAATTATCAATTTTTTTGCTTTAGATCTGCAGAACTATTATTTTATTGAAACGCTTAAAATTTTAGTGTGACAAATGTAAAGTAACTTTAAAGTTTTAATTAAATTGGTAAGTGAAAAATACTCCTATTTAAATTACAACATAAATTCTTAGCTTCTGGTAAATACATATATCATTAACAACTCAAAACCAACAAAATTTGTAATAATTAAAGCAGATGTTCAAAACTGTTGACCTTCAGCTTCAATGCATTTATTGATTCGTTTTTGAATGAATTTTTGAATGAATGAATGCACACAGCTCAAAAGTACATTTGATTGAATTTCGGCACAGTCATTTCGTATTCGCTCTGTCATACTCTCACAAGTTGTGGGCACAGCTTCATAAACTTTTCCTTTAAGAAAACCCCACAAAAAAAGTCTGGTGACATAAAATCTAGAGATATTGCAGGCCAGCTTACAGACCCAGCTCTACCGATTCATTGGTCTTTAAAGTTACGGTTCAGTACTTCACGTGCAACTATTGAATAATGTGCTGGACAACGATCGTGTTGAAACCACATACTCTGTCTTAATTGAAGGTCAACATCTTCGAGTTATATTTTGAAGTTTCTGTAGCATTCACCAGTCAGATTGCCCTCAATAATGTAGGGACCAATGAGCTTTTCCCTAATAATTTCACGCCACACATTTACCGTTCATGGACGCGGACGTTCAACTGGGCGCAGCCAGTGCGGATTATCGACACTCCAGTAGTGCATGTTATGCCGATTGACTGCTCCGTAATTTGTAAAAGAGCACTCATCAGAGAACAATACCCGATTAAAAAAATTCGGGTTTATTTCTATTCGTTCACGCGCCCACGGACAAAATTTCATTCGGTTTTGAAAATAATCTCCATGAAGTTCTTGATGCAAAGACAGATTATAAGGATGATATTTGTGGCGATTTAATACTTTGAGAACGCTGCTCCGGACAATCCAGAATTTTCCGCTAATTGTCGGGAACTAACGTGAGGATCATAAGCGACAGCAGCTAACACATTAATTTTATTTTCTTCCCCGGTAACTGTTCTTTGGCGAGTTCTTTTTTTCGGTTTTACGCTTCCTTCACTCTTCCGCCGGCTTCTCCCTATACAAAAATAATTTCAATTTTTTCGTGCACAGTTAATGCTCCCATATCAAAAATTATAGTAGCTTATTTAAATCAAATTCAAATAGTGGTTCTAACTTAAAACAAAATTAATAAATGTCAAAGTCAACAATTTGAAATTTTTACGCTTTTATCAGCTTTCCTACATTGAGTTGAGAGACATTTTAGATGATTTTGACAGTTTCGTATTCAAAATACGTTTCGAAATATCACGTATTGGCAATGCGAATTTTGAAACTATTAATGCTATACTTTTGCAACACGACAAATTTCGGACAGAACAAAATAATAAAATCAACCGTTAATGAAAACTATTTAATTCAGGCAATGATTTAAATGACAATTTAATAGAGAGAGAGAGAGAGAGAGAGAAAAAAAAGGGTTTTCCTTGAGCGGGTATTTCGGGCGGTCGTGTGCAAAGCCCGAAGGGTGAGTTCGTTTGAGCGCCACTAGCTTTCGCAGCAAAGCTAGAACAATTAGCGATGGAATGCTGCCGAAATACGTACTCAATTATTTTACCGGGATAGTACATAAGCTGACTTGAATGATGATATAAAAAAAATAAAAATGGTGAGCTTCATAAAGAACAAGAAAACGTGGTTTGACTACCACAAACTACAGTCTGCTGACCGTTTGGTCTATACTCTACGTTAACTGCTCAATTAAATGAAAATTTCAAAAAAAAATACAAATTGATAATACACAACCAATAGCTATACTCGCCCCAAACACCAGCAAGCCTCTGAAGTCGTCGCCACGTGCTGCCGATGCCTACGTGCTAGGTCCAGATCTCATCCAGACCGCCCCTGGCTATCCAGTCCACAATTTCAGTGAGTCAATATCCCCAGTCGGGAACCAGGAGGCGGTTGATGATGTTCAACGGATGTTCAAGTAGCGGGCAGATCTACCACACAGCAGAATATTGTTAACGAGTGTGAGTTGTGAGACAATTGTTAAACCAGATGTTGAGTGGATATTCTCTAAAGAGGGAAGGGTCAATTTATGAAAAACGCTCAAGATTAAGTGCAAATAAAGTGTCACAACTATTATTAATAACTTTTAATGCAATAATATGTTCTAATATTTGTTATTTTGTTTTGTAACAACAAATAATCAATATTTAGATATCTATTTTGTAATGTTTCATATTTTACATAAAATGATAAACATCATTACTATATGTGTTTGTTATAAATATGTTTTGAATTAAATTGAAAAAATATTTGAGTTTACCTCGGTTATTTCGGAAAACATGGGTTCCGTCTTCTTATTTTCTATCACGCAACGCATTCTTGATGTTAAGCCGATACGAATCTCTCTTCAGCTTATCAATTCACTATATTATTTCTATGATTAATTGTGTTTACCACGCATCAAAATGCATTTTTTTCGTTTCATATACCCTTTGATTCTTTTACATTTTACCTATTCCTGATCCTTTTATAAATTAATAGACTAACAATAATATTAAAATTATGAAATAAAATTATTAAGTTCAAAATTTTATGGTTTCTATAAATATAGGAAGTTGTCACTTCTGTCGAGCGTCCCGTGACGCACACCATTTTTTTCATTCAAGGTTTTTGCTGGAAAAATAAAAATTAAATATTTCGTTCGACGTTCGTCAGTTAGTCGAACAAATTTGTTTCGAATTCCGTTTTCTAATGAAGAAATGACCGACATCGTCAAAGTTGAAAATCTTTGCGAACACAACTGGCTTTACGTGGCACGAAATCCAATTCGACGCGCTCCAGCTTACCGAATATTTGCACGGATTGAAAGGAGTTAAATATAAGTTTTATCCCTTAATTTTGAAGGAACAGTTTACTAAATATCTGAGACGGATAGTTGTTTTTTCCAAAAATGGGAATTCAATTTGTTAAAAATTACATGGTTGAATTGAATCTTGACCACTCTTTTCGTTTTCACTAATTTAAAATTTAGAAAGAAATGTTGAATACAAAAGTTCTAGATATTACCGTCTAGTTTATTTTAAGATAGTAGCAAATTGATACAGGGTGTCTCAAATTCAAGTGATGGACCAAACATACCTTTTTTAAAATAAAATGCCGGACTTTTTATTACATTTTCGAGCTATTTGTAAAATTCTATGTTGATTTTCAGCTGTTTTTGAGTTGATAACCAATATTAATGAAACTTAACAAACTCCACCATTAACGGCTGTAGACAATCCAACCGGATATTTTTGCATACAACGGCCTCTGGACCAGTGATGCCATACTAGGGAATTTTTCCCTAGTCCAAAGGATTTTTCCCCGACAAAACGAAAAAGGAATTAGTTATAATTGTCTAGGAATTTTTTAAATTTTTCGTTTTAAAAAAAAATTATTCTGGGAAGAAAATATTTATATATCGGGCTACAGAAGGTAGAGAGGAACCACAATTTGTTTCAGGAAATCTCAATTAATTAATAATCGTCTTTAAGATCTTTTAAAATTCTCTTTTTGAAAATTTTAACATCAGATAGTAGCCAGGTAATCTGGGCGTGAAACCTTTTGAAATTTCAAGGTATTGACACAATTGAAGGTTAATGTAAACATTTTGTCTTTTTCTCATAAGAGCCCGTGTAATTAAAATTGTCGATCAAAAAATCGGCCAAGACGGCGACAAAAATGTTTTTTGGTCTGTTGTTTTGAAGATACAAAAACACCTTGTCAAAGTGTTTAACATTATTCGGCGTTTTTGATATTCAAAAAGCAAAATGAAAACTTTGGTCCCATAAGAGCTCATGTAAAACTAGGGATGGTCGATATTTAACGAAACCGCTAAAATAACAGTGTTCCACACGTGTAAACTAAAATCGCAGTTACACTTTTCCAATTTAACTGGTTGCTTTTTGAACCGTCTCATAAACCCGAAAAAGTCGTCTGCAGCAGCACAGAATCGATGCAGCACCGTCGATCCTTCTATCCAGTTCCAGCAGTTTGCCAATTTAACCGGTTATTTTGGAACGGTTTTATAAACTCGAAAAAGTGTTTCGTACTAGTACAGAACCAACGCGGCACCGTCGATCTATCCAGTTGCAGCAGTTTGCTAATTTAACCAGTTGTTTTTGGAATTGTCTAATAAAACCAAAAAAGTGGTTCGCACCAGCACAGAACCGATGCGGCACCGTTGAGCAATCTATACAGTTGCAGCAGTTTCAGTAACCATTTGTCGACGGAAAATATGTTTAGTCGCTCGTTGCCTTAATGATGATGTTTATCTTTCTCGTCTATAAGAATTATTGTTCAGTTCTCCAGGAACTATAATCGGTCACATCAGCGAAATATTGTTTAGTTTCGGTGATGATAAAATTCAGAATTTTTAGTCTATAAGTATTACTGTTAATGTGGATTATTTATTGTTAAAGTTGACTTAATAACAGGCGTAAATAATTCAAATGTTACTACAAATACTGTGGTGCCCCATCAATCAGAGGAAGTACAGTTAAAATATAGACAAGAGGATTATTCAATTTTTCAAGATTTTGACAAACTTGTTTTGTAACAAAAAAACAGGCATATTACTACTTTTGTTCAATGCGAGATATTATTTTCCAAAGCGCGTGCTATCTATCATAGACGAGCGGAGAAATAGACTTGAGTCGTAAAAAGCATACGCAAAAAATTATTCGTAAATATTAATTCATTTTTAAATAAAAATTGACTTTTTAAACATTTTTGCATGCAAATCATATGTTTAAACCATTCGATTTTGTTATCAGTTTTTTCCCTTTCATTACTTATTTATGACCCATAAATAGTTTTTTTTATTCGGGTGAATCTAAAAGTGCCATTTTTCGATCAGAAGCGATGTTCAAAAAGCAGCACTTTTCCTTACTGTTCATTTGTTTTACATTTGCGCACGGACTTTTACGCATGTGTGCGCAAAAGTAAATGTGACAAATTGAACGTGTCACTGTCATAAAATATTTTCATTAAAAAGTAACCGACAGGATTTTTTAATTAATTACGTAGGTTTATGGAGCACTATTGATCATAATTTAAAGTTTACTTATAATTTGTAAATTATAACTTTGTTACAAGTTCAGTCTAACAAAGTCGTTCAAATGGTCTATTTTTCTGCGCCACGTTGCCACAAGCAAAACGATTTTTTTTAAGAGCGCACATTTTATGCAATGCAATGCATCATCTTATATAAACACCATACCGTGAAAGCAGCACTTGAAGTTTCAACACTCATTGTTTCACTTGTATATGCTTACAAAAGTACGCTTTTGAAAAATTACAAACGTCAAAACATGACAATTTCAAAAATGGCATTGACATCAAATTTTAAATATGAAGTTGACGGCTTTTATTTTTGGCTATCTTCATTTATTATAACTATTTCTTTATTCGAATAAAAAATATTGTTCGATACGAGGGCGAAAAAAATATATTATTTTTAGTTTACCAATGCTAAGTTTATTTGTTTAAATAAACTAAATCATTATTTACCATCATCATTGCGAATTTTTAATGAAAAATTTAAAAAGGAACGTTACTTTTGGAACGGCATTTTGGAACCGAATACCAAAGTGAACTGCAACGTTGGAACCGGGTTCCAGAAACATAACCGTTTAGCACACCTCTATGCGAAACATTGAATGTTAATAGCTGGCAAACAAAAAGCGCTATTGGCACGTGCTTTGGTACATTATCGATATACTTTCGATATATTAGATTGACACGCTAAAAGTGCATTTTTTGGTTTTCGATTGCAACAGGATAAAAGATTGACCTTGAAAATTCGTGTTTAAGTGGGAAATCAATTTTTAGGATCAAAAATGATAGATTTTAGAAAGTATAGATTTATTTGTTTTTTTTTTTAGAATGATAGTACACCCAGAGAAATTAAACATATGCAGTATATAGCGTGGCCAGATCATGGAGTTCCCGATTCGCCTCAACAGTTTTTACGTTTTACTCAACATATTCGAGGACACCATAAGGATGAGAAGCCAGTAGTAGTTCACTGCAGTGCTGGAATAGGCCGTACTGGAGTTTTGGTATTAATGGAGACCGCTCTATGTTTGATGGATGTTGTAGAGCCTATTTATCCCTTAGAAATTGTAAAGTCAATGAGAGAGCAACGTGCTATGATGATCCAAAATGCTGTAAGTATGAATCAGATAAGTGCATATTCGGTTATAATCCAGGATAAAACAGATCCATTTGTTTACGTTTTTTGATGGGAGCAACAATGGTTCACAGTCATATCAAAAGCAGGTACTTATGAAAGCTGCTTTGCCGGCTCGGTAATTATTTTGATATAAATGAGTAGCACCAACAACAAAAGAGCAGGAAAATCGTTGCAAAATCGACTCAAACATGACGCTCTTTTTTTCACAGTTTTTCAAGCCTCATTTGAGCCACATAATTCGTTTGGGCATAGCTGGATAGAGAATTGAAATTTCGGTTTAGTCATATTAACATGAGTGAAAAAATTCGAGTAGTTTTGACCCAGATAGCGAAATTTGAATATTATACATTGAGCAGGGGCGGATCGAGCTTTCAAGTCAAGGGGGGGTCATGTAGTAGAAATTCAGTCTTTTGTTGTCTATGAAATTAAAAAAATTGATAATTTAGAGATGGAGGCCAGAAAATCAAAGAACATTTCATGCTTAGCGTAAATCGATTAATATACAGATATGTACTACACCTATGGCTAGCGGCCATTCGAGTTGCTTTTCGGATTAATTCTACTCTTAGTCAGTATATCGATCAGTACCTACTTTTAGCACTTTTATCCCTGTCTACCTGTTTTTCATTGATAAATCGCCGGTCGATGGAATTAAATGTTGCTCCCAAACAAATCGAAATTTATGAATGACTAGCTTTGTCTTTTTATTAGTGTTTTTAATTATAATAGTGAATATTATATTCTTGTAGAGTCAGTATAGATTTGTCTGTGAGAGTGTTTATGCTGCATATACCGAGAAGCGAGCTTCAGAAGAATGTTGTGATGGCAAACACCAGTCATCAACGGATAAAGATATTTGATGTAAGTAAAAAATGAGTTTTTATTTAAGAGTTGCTCGATACATCATTATCACGTTTTATACAATGATCTAATAACAGTTTCAGAACATCACAGAAGGTGTTTTAGAACAATAAGGTTTTTAATACATTCGACTGTATTAGTTGTTTTCAAGAGCATGAATGCTATTTCTAATGATAGAAAAGGCTGGTAATTTTTAAAATCGAGAATAAATCGAGAACTGTAGTCAAATCTCTGACCAACGGATCGTTTAATCTGTAATTAAGGCCGGGACACACCTATCCGATCAGAGTACCTTCCGTCGATGCTCAAACAATCGGATCGGTTATATACAGTTGCCATTCGCTAATCTCAGGGTAAGCAATATTGCAGCAGTAGTTTGAAAACATGTTTAAACATTTTACCGAGTGTAAATTGGCTACGGTGGCTTATTTTGGCTCAAGGCTGCTTGGAAAATAAGATCTTATGAAGTTTAAGTAACAGTTTTCCTCACTTTTTCCTCATTTGTTGGACGACGGAACGAAATTCCATAAATGTTTAAGAATGTCCATGACGCGTTTACTCTTTCTTTTGGAAAAAGTCCGCAGAAAAATATGTATAGAAGACACGTGTTTTTAAAAAGCATGTTGCTCTCTGGCCTAATCATGCAGAACCGAATATTTTCTCACTTTTTCAATGAGTTTCTCAGAGTTAATTAAGCTATTTTTTTCAATTGTATTAAAGCCAAAACAAGATGTGTCGCTGACGTAACCTAAAACAAGGACAGCTTTCGCCTCCAGTAATCAGATAACGAATAACCATCAAATAGGCACCATAATCGGGTACAAGAACGGCGACAGATCGGATGGGTAGCGAAAAGATGTGAACAACGGTGTCCTAAGTCTAGTACCATGTCTCTTTTCGATCTTTGTCCGAATGTATGATCGGAGTCGGCGGATAAAGGCCGAGACATATTTATCCGATCCGACTCCGATCATACATGGTCATTATTACCTGAGCAGTAGATGACTCCATGTTCTGCTATTTTTCTCCAAGTCCATTGTGTCTCACTCAGGCCAAAAATTTCTATTTGTAGCCGATTCATTTCCACGTCCACGTTGGCCAGTTTTCCAGCTGTGTAAAGACTACCTTGTTTGTTCCATGTAGCGATTTTGGCTAGCTATTGCATATTTGAAACTTCTTTCCACTGAAGGGTGCTCCGAATTGAGGGTCCTTTTCGAATTTGCCTTTGCCATTTTCGATATTTTGGCATACTCAAATGAGCCTTTAATGCACTGGTTTCCCGTTGCCTTCTGCATCCTTATGTCGTTGACGATTTCTTGGTTTCTCCGCCTTCGAGACCAATTTCTCAGTCTCCGGGCAAACGAGTGCCCGTATAGGCCCAGCTGTAGCATTTTTGCATGACATAAAGACTAGTAGCAAACCAATAGTGCGATGATATAAAAGGTAACGAGCTTAGTTTGTAAAGAACTTGGTGAAAAAACTCAAAAAAAGTCATGACTTATTGTACAATTAACTTAAAAAAAACCGCAGCAATCTCCAGAGTGAGAATGTAATTTATTTGAGGTTCACAGTTACTTTAACCTGTCCAAGACTCTTTGTTCATGATTTATTACGATCAGAATCGGCTCATTTTCATATTGTTCTATCCTGTTTATAAGTGTTTGTAAACCTTCATCGTTTCATAATTCCTTAACATCCATAAATCGATCTCGGTCCAATGCCTTTGTTAAGTCGCAAACATTCGTCTGTTGACTGTACATTAAAAATGACGACATTAAAACGTGTATTTTTGAAAAGCAAATCGTTCCTCTTTTAACTCAATTGTTTTGCCTATTTCTTCGCATAAAACTCCCGAAACGTATACAGAGTGATCCGCGGATAGGTGGTCTTATTAAAACTGAATGTTCCTTGGGTAAGAATTCGACAAAAAAGTGCATAAAAATGTATAATAAACATCTGGTGATTTAGTTGCAAGTAAATTTTTACATTCTATTTTACTATTCTATTGGTCAACTTGTCAATTATCTATTATTATATTTACTATATTATCCCCTTCAGTGCGATTTAAATAACACGTAATTTTTTTCACGGACACGCTTCTGCTTTCAGTTGATTATGCAAAAATTCGCGATATACAATTTAAATGATCTCGCTCCGCTGTCGGATGGATTCTTGACCCTTCCGCAGCCATTCATCCATAATCACCTTATTAACCATTGAAGCACGCTACTGATGAATAAAGTTTATGACATTTATCACATCATATGGGATTTACTGTGGAAAAAGCAAGAATTATTTGTAGAAGACATTTAATTTATTGCTAATTTTCTGGATCTTCTGAGCCAATTTTGAACTCAAGATCAGTTTTATGCCCAAAATTAGTTAATGCAAGTTTTGGAAGTTTGCCATAATTATATGAATCGTTTGATATTCACTTTCGCACAATGTAATAGAACAATGAATATCAAATGGATTGAAACATCCAGTTATCAATTTTCAACTCACCTGGATTGATAGTGGCATTTTAATCGAATTATCGTTTTTGGTCACCGTAATATTTCTAACGAAACCACGGTCCACCCACTTGTTAAAGACACTTTTCACCTATTTTTCTTCCTTTCTGGAGCCGACCACTTGAAATGTTACGTCAGTACCCGACATGTAATGGCTAAAATAAAAAAGTGGCGTTAAATTTAAGGACCGACTGAGATTCAGCCAGCTTTTATGAAAATTCAAGGGCTATATATTTCATAGCCAACATTTATGAAAAAGCACTTATTATTCCTCTAGCATTTCCGCAAGAACACTCTCTGCAAATTTGCTAGATCATATTTTTAGCTTCAACTAGTTTGAAATAGTTCCGTTCATAAAATTTTAGAACAATTATCCGAACTAAATAATTTGTTTGTACAATTATACTGGTTTAATATTAGAGCGTTTCAAAAGTAATTTACGAAAGTATAGCTCTATGTTTGGTTTGATGAAGGGAAATTGTGAAAAATAGCATAGCGTATTTATGCAAATATGCCGATTTTTTAGTTCACTGATAATTCAATTATGCTAGGACAAAGCTACTAAATATCTAAATAGAGCCCTTTTTTTAAACCTGATTGAAGTAATTGATGTTAAATGTTTCACAAATTATATAAGTATTTTTGTCAAGTAGCAAGGCCTTGAAGGGACAGGCCGATTTTAATTAATAGCAAATGCTTATAACTCAAATAATTTCAAATAATATTTATTCACGGCTTTTGAAGAAATACTGCTTTAATTTATGCCTGGGGGGAGGCTTATACATTATAATTATTTCTATTAATGCAGTAAAGAGTGTTGGGGTAAGTGTAGGAGTTGCCGCTTTATTTACATTGCTTTCAATGGTTAAGTAATATATTAATTTTTTTTAAATTAATATTTTTAATAAACGCTTATAACTTCTTCAAATTTGTGCCTTTACATGTTTATTAGAAAGCTATTTGGCATTTTGCCAAATATTAATAATCAAAGAATGCATGAAATTTGCTGAAAGAATCTAAAACATTTGGAACTTGCTGGTCAGGGGAGCAAATTTTATAATTTCCTGATACTATTTACCGATATTTATTGTATGAACCCTTTTAATCAATTGTAGACCATATTAGGTGTCAATTTACGCAAATTTTAGTTCAGGAAAATTTGAAGAATGGCATATTTCCGTTTATGGTATCATCCACAAAAGTTTTTTCTTCCAATTAAATTAAGTTGTTCTCAATTGCCCAGACACTTTTTTCGTTTTTCAACACGTTTTTCAACAACCTAACCGTAGACTGACTCAGTCAGTGAAGGCTTTCACGGTCGGTAAAATCACATTTAGAAATGTTTTTCGGGCTTTGAAGCCATAGTCCGTGGGAATTTCTTCCTGACATTTCGTTTACAACTGCGGTGGACATTATCAAAGGCGATGATGTAGTGGGCGAAGTGATCTCCAGTGCTTTCCGACTAAGACTGGTTCAACTACTTTGCTTTTGAACATATTCATTCTCAGCCAAGGTTTACATCCTTCCTACTGCTACTTATTCTACGGCTCCTTAATGCTAACATCAGTGTTGTCTTAAATTTGATATCATTTTACTTAATCTAACTTATTCTAACCTAAACCTAAACCTAGCATAAAACATCCTATCTTGCTTCCTAAGCTCACTTAAGTCTAGCCCATGGTCCTAGTTGTGGTGCAGGAACTGGTCATCGCATTGGTCCACGTCTGCTTCTTAGACTATGTCCGCAGAGGGAGGTTTGCGGTCAGTGGGCGACTACTATGTTTTCCACTTCCTCATCTTTCTTTGGGTGATCAACCAGGTTTATTCTGTATTGAGAGAGCTCCACTTTCTCTTTGGTGTCTACAGTGGTAATTCCGTTTTCTTGGATTGGTGGCATTCGTCTCCTTGGTCCTTTTCTGAGGATCCTGGACAGTTTCCAGATCGCTTGTTTGTTCTCTTCAGCCTCGATTTCGTCTCTGGAAGCATCCCAGAATTGCGACCTGAGTTCTTTCATATCTTCCTGGATCGCAGTCTGAAGCCGGTTGACTTGCCTTTTCAGAGATGGATCTTGCGTACGCATGGCTCTGCGTCGTATCCGGTTTTTATCCCTGTTTATTTAGGCTTTTAACCAGGGAAAAAATCTTGTCTGTTTGGTTCACCGGAACGACTGATGTGCTTGTTGAGGCTGCCAGGGTGTTTTTAATTTCCCTGGTTAGACTTTCTGCTGCCTGGTCCAGGTCGTCTTCAGTTTGGGGCTGGGGGATCCTGCTGGAGCTTTAGATTATGCTCTGGAAAGTCTGCCAGTTAGTGATTCTTTTAGTCGCAGTGATGTTGTTGGTTTGGTTTGGTCCAATTTGCAGAGTATCGGCAAATGGTCCGACGACAATTCCTGAAGTACTTCGGGGCTGATAGTCTTCCTGCGTTTTTGTACAGGAGTAGGTCCATGATGTAATCTCTGCCAATTTGGGTGATGTGCGTTGGCTCTTGCGGCGCAGCTATCTCAAACTCAGATAGTATGATGCCTTTGGTGCCCAATTTGTGTTTTTGGCATTGTAATCCCCGCCATGTATCATTGGTCTGTCTGGGAAAAGCCTTTCAACATCCTCGGGACACAACGTAGTGCTTAGACTGATGTACACGGGCACGACTCTGACTTTTGCATTTAGGCAGTGACTATAAATTCCTCCAGATGTGCCGAAGGTTTGACGATCTCATGGTGCTGGATGGACCTTTTCACTGCGACTAGTGTGCCTCCGCCCCCTAGTTGGCCTGTCTGCTCTGTGTGTCTGATAATTGCGAAGTGTGAACCTACCTCCAGATTTTAGCATGGTTTTCTAGATTAGGCACATATCTACACGATGTCTTGGAGCTCTATTTTCTTGTTCTTCAGTCCGTTGACGTTCCAAGACATGACACACACATGCGCCGCCGCACACTTGACGCACTTTGTTGAGGCAGCTGTGCACTTGGACTGGCCATGTCCATAGAGCTGACACCGAAAGCACTGTGTCAGCTGACTCTTCGCGTGCTGGGATTCCGCTCGTACTTTCAGGCTTCCCAGTGATTCTAAATCGAAGATGGCCTTCTCTGTTTTTAACAGTCACACCAGGACTACTGCTATTGGCTGGCCGTTCTTTTTCCACCTCACTATTGTTGTTGGGTGGGGAATCCTAGGGCAATCAGTTCTTCCTTGATTTTGCCATCGCTCCATGTTTCGATTACTCCTTAGATAACAACTCTGACTTGTTTCTCCTCCTCAATCTGATACGTATAGTACTGGTTTTTGTACGTATCCAGTACCCTGATCATTTGTCTGTAATCTTCTACTGTTGGAGGGTGTGTTCTCACCCCCTCCTTCGTTGTCACTCCACATCCGTAGTTTATTTTCTTGACCATCAGTTTTTTTGTTATCTCATCATATTTGTCTTTCTCGCGAAGGACAATTGGAGGCACCGTCCTCCTTTCGGTTTGCTGCTGGGCGGCAAGGGGCCTGCTTCCTCTCTTGTGCTGGCTGCTGGGCTAGGCTGCTGGCTCCCTCTGGGTCTGCTGGGCGGCTTGTCGGGGATATGTAGACAATAGTATTGTCATCACTGGAGGACACAGGCCTGGCTTGTTTCCTCCTTCGTCGGCGATTTGGACTGTTAAATCCCCCGCCGTCTGAGGAGTCCGTCATCGGGCCCTCCTTGGAGGCAGTTGGGCAAGCTGCCGCCTCAGCGGGTCTTTTAGTGGCCACACTATCACTGGAGGAGGCTGTGCCCTCTTCCATTTCCTCCTCTGCGGCCTCCTCCATGCCCTGCCAACACACAAACAAAAACTTTAGAAGGTTGCCCTGTTGTAGTCGCTATTATCAGATGAACAACAGCTCTCCAAACAATCCACGTTTTGACTGTTTCCTTATTTGTTACAATAAGTGTTTCACACTCGCGGTCCAACCTCGAGGTTGAAGCTTCACTAAGTGTGTGTTTTGCCCTCCCCCAGACTACCAAGAAAGAAATTCGAGCTCGTGTCTCCCTCAGAGGCACGTGCAGGTCCCCCTTTTGGGCTCCGGAAAACAGTGTAGTGCCGTTCAGGATAGTGTTCCTGAGTGTATTTTGTGATCGACATTGCGAGCTCTTGAAATACCAGAAGCTCCTTTCTCCAGCGCAACTTCCAACATCATAAAATGAGCTCTCGCGAGCGGAGCCCTTTAGGGTTCGAAAGCGATGACTCAAACGGCGCTAAAACTGACCAAGGTAAGCCTGCAAGACGCCCTGCCCAAAAACCCCGCACCCTGCTTTCCTTCAAAGCCAAAACCAAGGCCGCCGACCTTCAGTCGCTTCGTTTGGCAAATTCCAAACTACAGGAGAGTGTCACCTCCTTAAAGAAGCAAAACAAATTGCTTGCCCAAAAACTTGCCGAGCAAGACCATAAGACCTCGCTCCTACTCTCAGCCGTTGCCGAGGCGCACAAGCAAGTCCCCCCAAAAGCCCCCAGCAGCCACCCAGCCGAAAAGATGGAAGTCGACGACTTCCCACCCCTGAAAGCCAAGCCAAGGCTTAATATCCTAAAAACTTCAAACCCGGCACTCCACGAGCACATGGTCCAGCATGCGCAAGCCCCCCAACCCGCTAAAGCCCCTCAGGCTGCCCCAGCCACAGCCGCCACTTCGAAACCCCAGCCCCCAGGCCCTGCCACCACTTCGGCACCCCAACTCCCCAAGTCCGTGATTCCTATCGTCATTAGAAATACAGCTCCGAGCTCAACGCCCTAATCGCCACCCTTAAAACCCGCACAAGTCCCGGTCCCGACCAAATAACCAACAAAATCCTCAAACGACTCCCGGAAAGTATCCTCAATCACATCCTCACCCTCATCAACGCGTCCTTTTCGCTACGGAAATTCCCAACCCCTTGGAAAACCGCCTCCGTAGTACTAATCCCCAAACCCACCAAAAACAAAACCCTTCCTCAAAACTGGAGACCCATCAGCCTCCTTCCCACTATTTCCAAACTAACAGAAAAACTCTTTCTCGACCGCCTCCAAAAACTAATTTCAGAAAACCGATTAATTCCTCGAGAGCAGTGCGGATTCATGCAAAAACATGACTCCGTAATGCAAGCAGCTAGGCTAATTCAAGATGCCACGATTGCTTGCCAGAACAGATGCTCCACTGGAGTCGTCTGTCTGGACATTGAAAAAGCTTTCGATAAAGTATGGCACGAGGGGCTAATTTGGAAGCTCCTTCACACTCACAAACT